CTCCTCCTCCTCCTCCTCCTCCTCCTCCTCCTCCTTCTTCTTCTTCTTCTTCTTCTTCTTCCCTTGTGCATTTTTTTTGCAATCTGATTTTAAGGTGCTTATTTTAATATTGTTTCTGTTCTATGACTGTTTTTACTGGGACTGTGTAAAGACAAGCATTGTATGGCAAAAATGAAAACATTGAAATTTAAGTGATTTGGAAAGAATGTAAAAATAACATTCACATACGCAGGATAATTCAGAACTGGTGGACCAGACGAAGACTGCGGCAAGAGCACGGCTCACAGCAAAAAGCAGCTTTACCACAATGGGAGAAGGACTACAACCTGCTGCCTTTGAATGCCTACGGACTCTTTGATGAATACCTCGAAATGAGTATGAACAATTCTCTTTATGTTGCCTGAATATGGTGATATTTATATTTTACCCATGATCCTGTATAACAGGGTTCCTCAACCTTAGCAACTTTAAGATGGTGGACTTCAGCATGGCTGGCTGGGGAATTCTGGGAGTTGAAGTCCACCCATCTTAGAGTTGCTCAGGTTGAGGAACCTTGCTATATAATACTGTAGTAATGTGTTTTTTTAAATAAAATCTTCCAGGACACTGTTGCATCCATTCTTAGAAGTCTGTAAAATTATTTCCAGAGAGATAGCCATTTTGCAAAAAAAAACATGTCTTGTGGCACTGTGATGTAAATTTTCAGGAATCACAGACCCAAGATTAGATGAAATTAGGTTAGTCAGGGCATGTGGACCCTAAGGCTGCATACTATCCCTTCTTTAACATTTCAAACTATAGCCTCAACAAAGAGGAGGTACTGAAATGAGGAACTAGTTTGACCTAGAAGCTTAGGCTTCTTTTAATTATTTTGGAGATGATAAGCCATTATTGTATATTTTGATTTGTACTTTGCCATTTTAAACAGCAGTGTGCTCTGCAAATCTGCGGGTGTACTGTTTATCCTTGGGTATATCATCTAAATGATTCCAGTCTTAAAGTTGCAGGTTGCAAAGAACATGTTTACTTTTGTATAGAAATCATAAACCTTGTATTTGTCCCTTATTCTGCCTTTAGTTTTTAATTACTGTACACTTTTACTGGCCTTTAGTCATGTACAGCATATTAAAAATTGTGAATTATGGCAAGAGGGATATATTAAAATGGTACAATGCAACAGTAAGCAAAGGTAGTGATGCTGATATACTCTGTGTGTGTGTGTGTATACACACACACACACATATGTACACAAATATACATACATTTGTAAAAAATATATATATTGACTAAATATGACATTCCCTCTCTCATTTTCCTTCACAGTCCTTCAGTTTGGATTCACAACTATATTTGTGGCAGCTTTTCCACTTGCCCCATTTCTGGCTTTACTGAACAATATCATTGAAATACGCCTTGATGCGTACAAATTTGTCACCCAGTGGAGACGGCCATTAGCTTCCAGAGCAAAAGATATTGGTAAGCAAAAATTTTAATGGGTGTAAAATGTTAGTCTAGTAGCAAATTGAAGTTGAATTTTGTAATCCAGGATCATCTAGTCACTGAGAAAAGTTTGATATAGAACTCTTGGATAATATTTTCAGACAGGTAACATTTGAACGTCTTCTTAATTACAGCAACAACACTGTGGCATAAAGAAAGCCAAGGCACAGATGCTCACACATGCTATCCGTGAACTGTGTGTTGGAAGTATGTGTGTGGAGGGGGGAGGGAGAGCACAGTTCTAGCTACTAGGAGGAGGGAAACTTCTTTCAGCTCAAACACCAGATTAATTATAGGCAAGTCAATGGTGAAATAAAGTTTCCATCAACTCCTGGTGACTATATGGACATGTCCCCGTGATTTGTTGGCAACAACACGGAAATAGTTTAGCACAGTCTTCTACTGGGATGTTTTTTCAACTTTTCAGACTAACTTACCAGGTGTTGCCTCATCCAAGTAACAGGGTCCAATGTTGTTTAGCTTTGTTTCAAGATCAGCCCAGATCTGTTAGATGCTGCTACTTAAGTTGGCCAAAGATATACATATATCCTCCCAGCTGCAATTTCCAGGAACAATCTTCAATGAATGGCTTATCTCTGAGACAATTTTATTTGCACATTTTCCCATCAGGAAAAAAAATCAGAAACTAATTAAGGATCAGGTAGCTAATACCACAAGGTATTTCATACTTTGAAGAGACCATTTTTAATAAGCTTGCTAACTTGGACCTTGTCTTTCCAATTCTCCCATACTTACAGCACTGAATTGTAGCAATATGCAAAACGTTTGGGGCACAAAACAAATACGTGTGGTTTTCAATTGTTTGTATCCAAACCATAATAAGTATCTAGTCCAAGTTTGGAGTAGAAAGTGTGTACCAGGGAGAAATGGGGGAGGGGGGGAAGGAGCCAAGAACATCAGTGGTGACACAGTGGAGGTGAGGAAAGAAGGGTGATGGAAAGATAAGGTGATTGGTGGACCAATTTGATAGCCACTTAATTTCCAATACCCTTCATGTCATATTCAACCAGCTTGCCTGCCTCTGAACTTTTCAAAGACTTTTCTCTCCCTACTTCCCCTTAGCTGCTGTCAATGTCCTTGGCTTCAAACGTTGTATAAAAGAAGGAAAGGAAAGGAAGGCACTGTGAAGATCAGCAGGTGGGCCAATGCTCAGCCCATGGGGAGGAGAAAAGGGAAAGGTGACAGCCTTGTCCTACTTGTCCAGATTTTATTTTGGCTGAAACCCAGAACAACCAAAATGTTGAGTTTTAGTTCTGCTGAGCCATAGCTCTTCCAGAATGTCCAGCAGAACTTCCAAGACACAATGTGTGCATTTCCAGTTCAAACCAAAACACATTTTCTGTTTTGAGCTTCTTAATTAGTAGGGTGTTGTGCTACCATCATTATAGATCATCATTATGTTCAATGATAGAACATCATGATACACAAAGGCTGCATCCTATACATCACACTTCCTTGTCCTGGTGCTTTCCAGATTTGTTGGGTGACAGATGTGGAGGCTCAGGGTGGCAGAGCTTTTAGTTTAATACACTTGTAGACATTCTAGGAGAACAGCCAAGTTAATCTATGGTAGCAAAAAATCAAGAGGAGTCTGGGAGCACCTTTTCCAACTAACACATTTCAAAAACTTAATAAAAATTATCAATGGGAAAAAGTGCTACCAGACTTTTTCTGATTTTTTAATTCAATTGGGAAGATATCTAATCGGGAAATCTGCTATAGGCATTTATGTGGGAGCAAGTGCCATTTTGTGGGCATAGTTCAGAGTGGACCTACTTAGAACTGGACCATACACAATGTTGATTGAAGTAGTGTATAAATACTACATTTAGCTAACTATTTTGAGGCAGAACCTGAAACTGACATGGCTTTTCTTTTCTTTTTGTTAGGAATCTGGTATGGAATTCTTGAAGGCATTGGAATTCTTTCTGTCATCACAAATGCATTTGTTATTGCTGTGACTTCAGATTTCATCCCACGGCTTGTTTATGCTTACAAATATGGACCATGTGCAGGTCAAGGCGAGGCTGGACAAAAGTAAATTTTCTTTTTAGAAACATGCTACAAAGTAATCCAAATGTCTATTGCAATTTTACTCATAGCAACATGTCTAAGATTTCCTCCAGTTTTCCATAGATAGGAATATGAATCTCTTTTTATAAGATATTTACAGACAAATGTCAGACTTCTCTGCACCCAAATTATACTGCTGTTTGACTCTATTGCAATTTCAAAAGTAATTTTGAAAGAGACTAAATCTCCAACACATCCAGCTTGTATTAACTATTTATGGGAAAGCAATGAAGGCAGGCCACAAAGCAATCTTTTAGAAAGAACAAATATTCCGATGTGAATAACTGAACAAACAACTTTGGTTTAAGATTATCCAACATACGATGGTCATATTAAAGTTAGTTATACTTTTTAAAATACCAAATAACACCACCATAGTAAAATAGCATATTTATATATTCCTTTGTGATACAAGGAATATATTTCTATTTTGATATTTCTTTTCTATGAAATAAATATTATAAACCCCTCACTAATGTATAGGTTTGCAAAAGAGCATAGATGACATAATCTATGTCTGGATCAGAATAAGCTAAGCAGCATTTCTTTCATTAACTATTTAATGTATTACATTTTGCATTCCTACTATACAGGAAGCTATTTTGGAAATTGTTAAATTTTCTTATGAGTGGATGTATTTTGGATGTTAATGAGTTTTGTCACAGTAGGATAAAAGGCGCAGTTAAAGTTACAATTTGTGATATGCATTTCTGCGCACTCATGAAAGAAATCAAGGATTTGGCACTTGATTACAGGCAGGGGGGAAAGACAATATTCTCTTACTATAATTTCTATAAAATTCTTTCCTATAAAGCTGAGTGTGGGGAGCTGGACTATTCTTATTCTTTCTAGCAATGTATGGCTGCAGGGCATTCTTTTTCTGAGGAAAAAACTTTTTGAAACTGCATTATGTGAAGTTTTTCTCCTTAAGCTGCTAGTATCAGCCTGTCCTTAAGACGGAAGCAGGAAGCGTTTTCCTAAGGCTGAAGTAATTGCTGGTACCTCAGGACCAAGGTGGGTTGACCTCTTTGCCTCTGAGGTGTAGTCAGAATTGGAAGAAGCATAGCAGATAAAATAACACATTTTATAAGAAAGTCAACAAACTTATGTATTTATTTAATCCATCAGAGCTGCTAGCAGAAAGTGCTGAAGCCTATTCCAGATGTAGCTATCAACTGATCCCTGGCAGAAGATTGCCCCGTCAAGGGGCTTTTTTAAAGCTGCCTTTCTTCCAATGATGGGCTATCCAGAGCTTGAGTTGTTTGTATCATCCTGCTTCATTGCAAAAGAGGGTGTTACTAGGGGTGGGATGGCAATTTAATTTTTTTTTAATTTTGGAAACAATGAAGTCTCATAACTAATGATGTTGTAATCAGATGATATATCTGAGGGCAAATAAAGTTGATTCTAAGACAAGGCAATTCTGCAACAAATGACATCATGTAGTTAGATATAAATTGTTACATGTTATTTCTTTCCTAGGATTAGGATTGGAAGTGTAAAAAATTCATACCTGTGTAGAACCAACTGGGGTTGAAAAAACAAAAAAAAACAAAAAACCCCAGCATGAGAGAAGTATATATTTAGCATATTCACAAATATTTAACTAAGATCTATTTATTATAATAGTTTGAAAATAAATAGTATTATTCAGGAAGAATACAGTAACATAAAGAAAAGGTTGGATCCATACTGCATCCCATGTATAATAGTTCAACTGAAATCAATATAATATAAATTAGCCTTGATTAATTAAGATTCCATTGAGTTCAGTGGATAATCTGTAAATTTGATTTTGTTAAGTTTGTTCTTCATTCCAACTGTGAAAAAAAGGTGTCTTTTCCTTATAGCTGTTCAGTTCAATTGGCATTAAAGCTAAACTAACTAAAAATTGGTCAGTGCCCAAAATAAAGTATATTTTGGTATACTATAAAGTATATAGTTACTAACTAGTATCCCATGTGTAGTTCTCCATTGACTGGGATTTCTTTTAAAAAATTTTTATATAACATGTGATTGCAAAACAAATAATTAAACTGAGAATCAGTATATTCCTCCTGAAGTTATGAAACAAAAAGAAGTGAACTCCTTAGAAAATCTAAACAATTTTGAGTATTTCCAGATAATAAAAATCACAATAACTATTTATCTCAACACACAAATAATATTGTTTAGAAGAGTTGTTTACTCATCTTTCCCCAAATGTAAATGCTCAGTAGCTTGGTGGATAGTTTCTATTTTATTTTCATCAATACAGAATTAGGACCAACAGCTAGCATGTTCATTGTTAGCGAATAATCTACGTAATATGGACCTGAGTTTTCATGAGTGCTTACTATAGAATCTGGTGAAAGAAGGCTGATTTCTGAGTAAAAACATTCTTGCTTTCTAGGTGTATGGTTGGCTATGTTAATGCAAGTTTATCACTATTTCTCGTGTCTGATTTTGAATATCGTTCAGAACCCTCATCAAATGGAAGTGAGTTTGCTGATGCACCATTAAAATATTGCAGGTAAAGAAATGTGTGTGAAAATACTGCCATGTCTATCAGAACTTTTTACTGCTTTACCACTATTATTATACCTAGATAAATGTGGCAATCTGACTGTGACACATGATGACATAACCTATTGATCGCCAGGGTTGATTTGACTGATCTCACTAGCTTGGCAGGTGTCCCCCTTCTTTCTCACCATTCCATATGTCCTTCATGAAGCTATGCACTCAGTGGAATAGGATGACAATAACAGATAGGTGTGGTATACCATTCTTCTTCAAATTATTACTTATATAGATATCTACAACATCCTACTGTTCTCTTTCATGGCAAGCAACATTATTCAGATGTAAATGGTATAAATAATCTTGTTGTTAATGGTTGTCTAGAATCTCAGGAGGTACTGGGAATCAGACAGTGCATGTTTTTCAGTGGTTGTATCAGCTCTTCTTCAGTATTAATGAAATAATATAATTTTAAACATAATTTCAGATTTGGGTGAATACTATCATACACTAGCACAGATCTAAGGATCTCACGGTTGGCATATTGGAGAAAAGTATACAGGTAGTCCTCGGTTAGTGACTGCCTCATTTAGTGACTGTTTGCAGTTACACCAGTGATGAAAAAGTAACTTTACAACCAATCCTCGCATTTGCGACCTTCAGAGGTCTGAAAGCAAATGAAAGCTGAAGTAAGATTATAAGCACAGTTGTGGTTTTACTTAGTGACTGCTTTGCTTAAGAACCAATTTGCCAGTCCCAATTGTGGTCGCTCAATGAGGACTACCTGTATATGCCTTTCCCCAACCTAAGTAAAACTCAAGAGATGTTCACATTAAATCAATACACAGTGCTGAACTTCTACATGAATCACTCAGCTAATGATAGATCAATATAAGTTAATCAGAATCTATTTAATAGCATTATTATGGAGTCTTCCCTTCATATATACCTTTTGCAGTGCCATCATTGTAACAATACATATACTATATTAACAGTATACACACACACATCTATGCATACATAAATGTGCCAGATACTCATTTATTGCTTAGAAGGAATCTCCAGAATTGGTTTCAGTTGAGAGTGGCAATCTGAGGTTGACAAGATGGGAGAGTGACTCTTTCTTTTTGGATGAATGGTCTCCTTTTGAGATAAATATGGTAATTAGCAAATGTAGAGGAATAATATAGTTTCAACAGGCATTGCAGCTTGGAAAAATATTAATGTAGTGCAGTGTCAGATCCACTGTGGCAGCTCAACTTTCCCTGGGGGCAGGAAAGAACTGGGACTACTGGACATTTCTTGCATTAATAATCACCTAAGAAGCACCAGCTAAAAGTGGAAGCAAACTCATGGCCTCCTAGCTCCAAGTTTTTCATAACCCTTTCAATACCTTTAATGTCAGTTATTAATGGGATCAGTGGTGAACAGAGGCTCGTAGAGAGTCTTACTATCCTAGTAGTATTGATGTACATTTAATAGCTATCTTGCATCATAATAGACAAAATTTATCTTTTTTGTGGGGGGTTGTCCTTTCAGGTACAGAGACTATCGTGATCCTCCTCATTCTCCAGTGCCCTATGGTTACACACTACAATTCTGGCATGTCTTAGCTGCACGGTTGGCTTTTATTATTGTTTTTGAGGTAAGTTTCAATTATGCAGTCTTCCAAATGTAAAATTTAAAAATGATTGAATTGCAGCTTAATTCTTTGATGTCAAGGTATAAAATGCTGATACTATTAATGCTGGTACCCTGGTCGCCTAATAGAGGCCTGTGCTCAGTGTTTTTCTCTTTCAACAGCTACGTATGCTACAGGTTGCTGAAATGATTTTTTTTCAAAGCACCATTTATATCAATTCACTAATCACAGTATGAGTCTTCCTATGTGAGTCTATTAATCCAAAAAAAGCTGTTGTTTGTACTTAGGATGGCTCACAGTACTATTTTTGTCTAACTCTGTAACATTTTACATTAATATTTTTATAATGATATAGTTGCAATATTTAAATCATTTTGATTGCCCAAAAATTTCAGGGTAAGTAGAAGAAATTTAGCTAAACTAACTATATTACTCTGTACAGTACTAAACTGCATTACTCTGAATACAGTACTAAAAATCAAAATTTTTAAAATACTTAAATGTGTCTGGATTGTTTCCTCCACCTCCTCCTCTTCTCTATTTCTTTATTGTAGTGAACTGAATAAATGCTGACCAGCAAGACCAGCCAGTAATTGACATTGCCATTTGAGTACTGTAAGGAGTACGTAGTTGTCCTTGGTGTCTTCACAATGTGAGGATGTTCTAAGTACTGTATGCTTAATAGAGATGAAGTGAAATTTAAAAAAAAAGAAATAGAGAAATATCGTAAAGAGTGTGTGGAGACATAATTGTATTTTTATTCTCATTATTTTCATTAATAATAATAAACATTATTTTAAAAGTGATCAGGTGAAGTGAATTCACTTGCTTTTAAAACTTTTTTTTACAGCACCTTGTGTTTTGCATAAAACACTTGATTTCCTATTTAATCCCAGACCTTCCCAAAGATCTGAGGGATCGTATGAGAAGAGAAAAATATCTGATTCAGGAAATGATGTATGAAGCCGAACTTGAACGTCTCCAGAAAGAACAGAAGGAGAGGAAGAAAAATGGAAAATCTTACCACAAGGAATGGCCATAACTAATTGAGTGAGTGTTTCTAAATACAGGTTGTAAAGTAAATTCTCCAGTAGACTCTGTACTTTCACATAATTAAAAGTTCAGATGAGGGTTTTATAAGGACACTGAGCAGGGGTACTGAACACAAATCAGTAACCTGCACACTTTCCACATTTAATATATTTTTATTAAAGGATATAGTATACTATAGCTATATCCAACTATGAGTAGGATTCAGCAATATACTATCTTTCAGGGCTGTGCAAAGCATCTGTGAGTTGCTTTGCAAAGAGAGTTTGAAGCACCCCTCCTCAAAGTGTTAAAGCAGCTGTATTCTGCAAAGGGATTGGCACACTACAGGCAGTCCTTGTTTAGCAACTGCCTCATTTAGAGACTATATGCAGTTACGGTGGTGATGAAAAAGTAACTTCACAACCAATCCTCGCATTTACAACCTTCCTAGGTCTTCCTAGGTGCTTCCTAGGTGCTTCCTAGGTAAAGCAAAGGAAAGCTATAGGATCATAAGCATTGTTGTGGTTCCACTTAGTGACTGCTTCACTTAACGGCCAATTGGCTGGTCCCAATTGTGATTGTTAAACAAGGACTACCTGTACTTTGTAGGCCTTTGTAGGCCTTTTTACTTGTTGCCTGTCCACCATGTGTGCATGCCCAGACCACACTTCTGCTGGATCTACTAGTAAAACATTCTGGGTATGCAGGCACACACATGCATGGATAGCCATTTAAAGCCTTTGAAACAGTAGTTGTGCTTCTTCCAGGGAAAGTGGCTTCTTTAATATTTCAAGGATGGATTTGCACTAACATACTTCATGTGGCTCCAGTATACTTTATAGATATCAGCATCTCTCTTCTTTCTTTGACATATATGTGGTCTTTCTGCTAATACTTTTTGGGTCTTGAAATATGACCAATTCACCCTGTATACTGTGGTACACAGACCTCCTCTTCCAAAGATAAAGAGGAAGAGGGGAATGGCACACAATACTCAGTAGTATCTAATACCTACCTGGTAGATACTTGCAGTTTGGCTATGTCCCCTGAGCTGCAAAAAAAGAGCTAGAGGAAAAAACTAGAGAAATATATTACTGCCATTAGCTATCCATTTTTAAATTAAGTTGCAACTCTTATTTTTTAGCATTTTAGTAACCATGGTACAGTCCTAATTCAAGTTTAGGGATTCAGAATTAGGTACTGTAATATACATTTAACTATAAAATATGCATAAGCCCCCTAATAATGTAACTGGAACAGAAAGGTGAAAATCAAAACTGCTAAGACATAATCATTTTACTGAGAAGCCAGCTGATTTTTGTTTATGTTGTATGAGTATAGAGCTGGGGGAGATTATTTTTTATTGTTTAAATCCTTCTGACAAGCAATAACATTCTGTGAATGCAAGCCACTAGGAGGAGAAAGGTCACCTCCCTTTTTTCATATTGATACTGCTCGAGACTGGGGGCAAATTATACATGCTGAAGTTTCATTAACTTCATTTAGATTAGGGGAACAATGCAATATTCTGACAATCTAAAATAATAAGTGGATATTGTGTTGTTTATATTTGCAGGTAGTAGACTTATATTCTTTTGCTTTCTCAGATCTATAAGAACCCTGTCTTCAAGAAAATGGAGATGATGCAACATCAATACATGGGCAATTTTAACACAGCAAATGGGGCAAAATATTTCAAGGAGTTTATTATTCGAAATAATTAGGTAGTCTGCATATGATTACTTTTGAATCTAGAAAAAAGAAATATGTAAGACCAGTTTTTAAAATAAGCACACAAACAAACAAATAAACCTAACTTACACACCCTGGATCATTTTTCAGCCTGATTGCTGTTTTCTGTATTATATTTCATCTCACATTTTTGAGTTTGGAAATAGAAATATACATAACTATCACTTATTAATGTAATATATATTAACAAAGCCTATTATAGTAGCATTTCTTACTGTTATGTACATTAGACATACTGTTTACATATGATTTTTAAAAGAAATGCTATATATCATACATATACATACATGCATACATATATATATATATATAAAATATATTGAGATTGTTTATTTGTAAATAGCAAAAAATAAAAAACATGAAAAATGTCAATTTTTCACTTATAGAATATCATTATCATAAAGCTATATTTAGCATTCCTATAATTAATTATAATAAACTTTAAAATAAGTTATGAATAAAATTTTTGCTTTTGTGTCTTAGTTATTTTTCAAACAATAAAAGCATATTTTATGAAAGTCTGTTATAATTTTGTCTTTTAAAAAATATTATTCAATTAAGTCCAGATTGTCTTAAGAGACTGCTTGCTCCCAGCATTAGAATAATTATCAGGAACCCTTTCTCTGGCAATTTGAAAAATTCCAACCACAGACATTCCCTGTAATTTGGTGGTCATTTTGGCATGTCTTTCCAGTCTTAATCTTCCAGGCTGGGTCCCCCCCCCCCCCCGCTTCACTGATTTTGTTTTAAACTTGATTTAAATGGTTACTGACAAATTGAGATATTTTAATTTTTTTCCCTTTTAATTTCCTTGTTTCTGTTTTATTTTTAAGAATTAATGGTATACCATGTTATTTGCTATTCCTTTTCTAAATTGTATTTTATTGATTTTATGATTTTGCAATAAGACTGAAAACATATCCAGGCTTCAGGCTGATTTTAGGCCTCTTTATCTAGCTGAAAAGATCTCTAGCAGGATCCACTCCTTTCTACTCCCAAGCAGTAAGAATAGCTTGAAGAAGCTCTCCTCCCAGATGATTAGTCCATCTCAAAGTGAAGCAGCAGCACTATTGGTTAACTAGGTGCTGCTACTTTGAAGTGCTCCAAGTGATGTTTCATATACTCTTGCTCATCCATGGGCTTTCCCTGCTTAAAAAGGTTTAATAATAAATCCCATTCTTCAGAAATTATTGCTTCAAGTTTTTGCTGGTAATTTGTGCATCAATGCTTAATTTAGAATTTGCAGGATGGATACCAAAGAATGAGAACACCAAGGGAGACACCAGGACAGCAATGAACTTTTAAGAAAGTTTATTAAGAAATTGTCCCCCACTCTTCTAGCCTTCTGACAAGGTGTAAAAACATGGCTATGCGGGATGGCCTGGGAGGCCTGATGGGAGCTTACATTGCTGGAACTGGCTCATGGGATGATTGATACTGCTTCCCCCATCTCGATTTGTATATTGCTTTTATAATTTGTTATTTTGTTTTAATGGGGGGGTATTTATATTTTTAGTTTTTATTGTCTTGGTTTTTAATTGTAAGCTGCCCAGAGTCACCCTCTGGGGGAGATGGGTGGCATATAAATTTAATAAATAAATATAGCGCCAGGGGGTCCTTCCTCAATCTGCCTCGGTGAGCCCAAGTGGTGAGGATGGTCTCCAGAATTAGACTCTCAAGGAAGTTGGAACTGTGAGACAGATCTTACTGCCCTTTTCCCATTCCTCTGCCCTTTAGAATGCTCACCCTGGTGCTGGATGATTAACAAGAAGGAAATTTATGTTTGTATTTACATTCATTGGAGAGGAAGGAATTACAAGTGAGTAAACCAGCACGCAATATGGAATTCACATTGAAAAGAATGTGATAGTACCAGCGAAAGCTGTCAGCTATTAACTTATTAAAGTCAAGGCAGGGATCTTGTCAATTTCAGGCGGCAGTGCCATACAAAAGTACTAATTAACTAATTAAGATCACAGAGCAGAGCTTGCTAACTTGCAGTTAGCACTTATTAGGGAAGCCCTGCACCACAGAAAAAAGTCACAGGATAGTTTGTTTAAGCAATCTCTCTGCTTTGCAAGGGGGAAAAAATGGGTCAAGCACAGGATACAAGTGCCCTGAAACAAGAGAGAAACTACATAAGCCTAGTGGAGAAGGATGAGTGGGATCTCTGATCCTTACCCACTGAAATAACCAATACAAAGTAACCAATCCTCCAAAAGGGCCATCTGCCCTCTGACTTTTTTACTTCTGGATATTTTTTCAGTTTTATTGCAAAATCATAAAATCGTATGCTTTACCCTGGCCTAGTTGCTTTTAATACAATAGTGGAATGTTAAAAAGTGCCTCTTATTTGTTATTGTTAATACCAAAAAATATTGAGGGCTTTCTGAAAAGTAGAAAGAGGTCCAAAGTATCCATTCACTTTTCAGAAATGGAAAAGGAAGGATGAAAATGTTAATTGCATTTGTTTATTCTCAGTACTTCAAGGGAACAAGCATTGGAAACTGCAGTTGGTGCAGAATCTGAAATATATGGACCAGGGGTAGAGGGTTTTCAAACTTTTTTCAGGCTGAGGAACCTGTTAGTTAAAAAATAAATAAATCCCAAAATCTTGAATCAAGAGGCAAAACTTAAGTTGACAAGTCCCATCTCTTCTGCTGTACCTTGGGAAAGTTGCTGTGGACACCCCAGATGGAACTGTGTTCTTAGTCTTTCACAGAACACCCTCAAGTTCTTGTGGAACCCAGGGTTCCATGGAACAGAGTTTAAAAAACCCTAATCTAGACATAAACCAAGTATCATATTTACACTGACTTTTTGCTTATTTTTAATAAGGATAGTTGAGAGAGATGTAACATTCATTGATTTTCAACTAAGAAGGCCCTGATCTAAAAAATCTTTTTGTGCATATGGGCAGAATGGTAGAAGATTGTAATTTCAACATACTAGTCTTCCAATCACATTTGCAATCTGCCTCAACTGCTTTTCATTAAAAATAAAACTCTGCACACAGTTCTCCCATATAATAGTTAGTGGGATGACTTTTATGCACTGTAAATTACAAAGTTTATTTGGAAAAGAGATGAAAAACAGAAAAATCACACAAAGCATCTATTTGCACAAGGACAAATTCTTTTTGCTATTTATACTGTGAATATTTTGTTACTTAACAATATTTACTATAAAAACTTATCTTCAAAACTTAGAATAATTATCATTTGTAAAGCATTAACAGTCTTTTACACAGATGCATAAACAAAACAATTTATTTAAGATTTTTCAATAAATGGACGTTAATGAAGTATTAATAAGGTTCTTCAACAGATAATGTAGTGTTATATATTAAACTTTTAACTCTATTTTATAATAAATGTTTTTGCATTTCCATAGAATTTAGTTTACCAGAAAAGCATGCTTACACTTTGGTTATCAAATGGTTTCAACAATAATTTATTGAAAAATAAAACAAATTTTCCACTTCAAATATCACTGAATAAAAACCAAAGATTGCTATACGCTCTACATTACTGCATTCCATGCTTTTCATTTACAGAAGTTCTTTTCTAGAAATGCTGCTCTATTTCATCCTCTGAATCAGCTTTTTCAGGAGCAACCTGCTCTGTTGCCTGCAACTGTAATACAAATTAAAAATACAAACATATCCAGTACTTAATATTTGTTGTTCCTTTATCAAGGCCACACACTTACTTACCAATTTGATTTATATGGCTACCCAGCTTACAAACTGAGACTCTGAGCAGCTAATACAGGATTAAAACCAAAAGTAAAACCAACAGGGGAAAAAATAGCAGGAAACATGAAAAGTAACAGAGGAAAACCCAGTTGTTCAACTTCCATCATTACAATGAGGCCCCTGGCCCAATACTCAGGGAAAAAGCCAATTCTTCAAGAACTTACAGAAGTCCAATAAAGTTGGACACTTCAAAATCTCAGGGTATTGTTAAAAAGGGATATGTAGCACTTCAGATTTTATTCCAGATGCCTCAAAGCATGTAAAAGCAGAAAGGTAGCACCTTTCTGCAACTTTTTAAAGCAGGCACTATGCTTTACTTGAGCAAGAGGCTGACCTCTGCGGGTACCCTGTGATCCCAGGAAAAAAAAATATGGCATCTACTTTAAAGAATTGCTGACAGTTGCTATATTCTCATTCCTTCGTCCTTTAAATCATCTTTCTGGAATCAAATCTGAAGCCCAGTTCTATTAATACATATTCTTAAATTCCACTGAAATAAGTGGGGTTGGAGTATACAGGTAGTCCTCAACTTATGACAACAATTGGGACTGGAGTTTCCATTGTTAAGCGACGCGGTCATAAAGCACAATCGCATCGCTTAGTGATAGCAATCTCTGCTGTCCTGGTTGCTATCACCGAGGATTATGGGTTGTTAAGCGAGGGAACTTCCCGCTAGCTTCCAACAACCAAATCAGTGGAGAAGCCAGCAGGAAGTTGCAAGTCCCTGGTCTGCAGGCAGATAAATGGCTACTGTTAGGTGGGGGAGGGAGTGAGGGAGTGCACAGGGATGTGGGGAGGGTGCATGAGAGGTGCCATAAGAGTTGGGGAGAGTATGGCATGGGTCAGGAAGGATGCATGGGGGTGTGGTGTGGGTCGGGAAGGGTCCACATGGGAGCATGAGAGGTGCCATGTGGGTTGGGGAGGGCATATGGGATGCAGCATGGGTCAGGAGCACAGGGGTGCGGTGTGGGTCAGGGAGCGCACATGGGGGTGTTGTGCAGGTTGGGTACACGGGGCTGTGATGCAGATCAGGAGGGGTGTGTGTGTGTGAGAAGTGCCATGTGGGTCAGGGAGAGCATGTGGGGTACAGCGCAGGTTAGGAAGGGTGCAGCATGAATACAGAGGAGCTGGGGAGGGTGCATGGGTGGGGGAGACTTACCCTGG